CCATTTCGAAGAGTCCTAGCGGTCACCCATGCATTTTTACGGGAATAACTCTGCATCATATTTTGAACCGAGAAGATGACCCCACAATCGGGAAAGCACGGGCCTTCTGCTACAAAACTAACCGAACCAAACTTTGTTTTCAAGATCAGACCAGAAAAAGTCGACTCCTGTCTTAAACGGCGAGTAACAGAAATCCTGTGCTAGTCTCGCCACGTTGGGAAGCTAATGCTATGACCCCCATCTTGATTTCTTTAATGCTCGTTATGGCTGTTTTCACATCTGGTATTTTCACTGTTCTTTGGCCAAAAGTGAGTGCAGGTCACCGTAGGTTTCGAGAAGAAAGCGGTTGCATATGCAGAAATCTCTGGCAAGTTCGTAGCGCAGTGGCGCTTCGTCGCAACCGAGGAAAAACTCTACAGTATTGTTGGTGCAAAACATTAAGCCTCACGACTAGCAGCAACTTAATCGTGGATATACTCCACCGTACGGCGTTTATTTGAGCTCGACTCCACACAAAATATTACAGGGGCACTTGGGTATCCCTTTGTAGATTTAATGCGAAAGCATTGCCATTCCTAACGACACTCCCTTTTTTTTTTTTTTCCTAATGGCAATGCTTTAGCATTCGATCCGCGTAGGGATACCCAAGTGCCCCTCTAATATTTTTTTACGTTACATCATACGGCGTCCCACATCATGGTACGTCAAGTCGTCACGTGACGTGTGATGTCATGGAACCGAGGACATATTTCTATGACCATCTTTCGGGCACATCAACGCCGATGCCGCCAAACATGATGAAAAAACAGCCTCAGATAAACAGGGACAAAAAACGGGTAAAGACATGCCATCTTTTGCTGTAATGGGGCAAGCTTCTTTTTGAGGGGAGAGTAATGCCGCATTCCGAAGCGGCTGAGATAGCACAGCAGCTAGCATGCCCGGCTCTCACACAGCAGCACCGGGTTCAAATCTCAGCCGTGGAAGCACATTTTATTCTTCCTTTTATTCCTCTGTTAACATTTGGTACCACTCGGTTAACGCAGCCGGACGCCGGATTTTTTGCTCCATGGACATATAATGCTTTCGTATTAAAAAGGCGCATTCAATCAGGAATGTGCCTTTTCGTGTGGTAGAGTCGCACAGCTGCCCACCACTTTGGAAATCACTACTGAAGTACGAGGGGGCGCTAGTGATCACCGAATCAGGTTCACGCCGTTCATAGGTGAAGGATCCTTTTGGGTGCACTGAAGATTTGTGTGGAATTTTCTTTCGTTGATTCATTGGCGCATCTCGCCGTTAATCGCAGTCCTGCACCTCGTTAGCTCTAACAGGAAGGATGGACAGCTCGGCAGACTCGTCGGCGCAAAACGTATGCCTCTTGCCGACGCTTCTATATTCATTGCTGGTCGCGGCGAAATAGCCAAATGATGTGCGGCCATCTTTGCCCTAATAGGTTTGTAAGACACTTTGGATAATGTCGTAATATTCCGTTGTAAGTCACACAAAAGTTGCGACAATTTTGTTGTGTTAATACGGATTTCTTCTCGGGTTTTATCATACGCAATTTTTTATCGTAAGTTTGCTTTTTGAATTCGGCCTCTGATGTCTCGATCCTCCCAATAATTAAAACTTAGTGTATTGCATCGATTGTGGAACGGGGGCGGATCCAGACCTCCATTTTGGGGCGGGCGAAAAAGTTTTAAGGATACTCTTCTCCCATTCTTTCTTGTGCAAGGAGGGTCTACTCATGTCAAATTGCCCACTGAGAAAGGGGGAGGGAGGGGGTCGACTTTGGGGGGGGGGGGTGGCTGTCCCCCCCCCCCCCCCTTTTCCCCCTCCTCTTGGATCTGCCACTGTTGTGAAAGCTGCTGTTGACACTCACCCATTTGGAGCATGGCTTTATGATCCGCATAGAACCCTATTACAGTTTCCTTCCCGTCCGTTGTGATTAAAAATACTTCTTCAAGAGAGTAAACAAACACAAGAAAAATAAATATACACAGGGACAAGAAGTGGACATAAAACACTGGCGCCAGTGTTTACCACCACTTATTGTCCATGTGTTTTTTTGCGGCGCTTGTCTACGATCATGGATCAATTGGCCCGAATTGCCATATTAATTCTGCGAGATGCTTATAAGTCTTAGCTTCTCTATGTTCATATTTGCTAAACTTCATGAGCGACAACATCTGCTCGCTTATCTTTGGTGGACCTTTTCAAAAGCCGAAATAAAACTGTGCAATGCGGCGGCAAAAACAGTGAGCGATTGATTCTCGCAGACTCGGGGGCAAAATATACTTCTGCATTACGGAGCCCCTGACAATGTTATTAGTGCCACTCATTAAACTATCAAGGTAGTGTGTAAATTAAGTGCCTGGGTGAGCAAAAATGTAGGACTTTTAAATGTGACTTTCCACATTTAAGGCTGGTTCACACATACAGTGCAGCACTAACTCAGCCCTGTTAAGGCAACGAGTCACTGCTACTTCCATGGCTTGTATCGTGGGTTCTGAGTGTCCTCCTTTCCTAAAGGACTGATGTCCCGGTTTGTAATACTGATTCAGCGCTGAGGTAGTGCTGCACTGTGAACAGGATACCTTGCTCGGACATTGAAGTTTAGATAAACAGATCAACGTGTAACTGTGCATCTTTTTTTCTTTATAGGTTACGAGTACAAGGTCTCCCATGGATACGAATGCAGTTCAAGGTCCCCCATGGACACGAAGGCAGTGTACCGTATACTCGAATTTTGCATTTTTAATAAACCAGTTATTACTCGTTCCCACGGTTTTATGCAGGCATTTTCTGAACCCTGCATGCGTATATAGGCATACATAAAACTGACACTTGTACTCACTTTCCCCTTCCCTCAAAACAACGGTTACATCCGGACCACATGTCATGCAACCTCTTGCCGTCTTCCCTCTTAGAGCCCTCTATCTAAAAACCCACGCTAGGAGTATAATTTCTCATACATTTCATTTGAAAGTCTAGATACACTGCTTTGAGTCTCTGTTGAAAATCAAAGGTTTTTTTTCTACTGCGTTGCAATTCAGGTTTTGATGGGCCATCTCATTAGGTATATTCCGACTCGTCGGAATGTACCTAATGAGATGGCACGTCAAAACCTCAAGTACAACGCGGTAGAAAGAAACATTTGATTTTCAACAGAGACTCAAAGCAGTGTATCTAGACTTTCAAATGAAATCTATTAGAAATTCGTGTGAGGTGACACGGCAAAACCTTAATTGAAACGCGGTGGCCAATAGTTTTCGTAAATTCCTTACGGATTCGTTACAAGACTCATTTGCATTTCTATTGAGAATCGAAAAGATACGATGAGTAGACTCCATAAACTTTCAAATGAAATTCATTAAAAAATTTTGTAAGGGCGAGCTCAGCGCGGCGCGGCCAGCTTATGAGAGCGTGCCCTCGGCCGACGGCCGCAACCTCGGCCGTCGGCCGCAACCTCGGCAGTAGCGAAACGTGGCCGTCCACGCCAGTACGCCGCAGACGAACTAGGAGAGCGGAAGAACGACATCCATGCTTTCGCATTCACAACACATAAGAAGTGCTTAAGCGTCCCCGGATTTTTTTTTACCACACTTGATATGTTTATCAGGTGGTTAGAGGCGAGAGTAAACGAAGGTCTGTACTCTCGCTCCTGTACCTTTAGCAACGCTACGCGATTTGTGAGTTCAGTAGGAAAGCTAAGAAGGAACAAGTTGAAAAAAGTGAAAGCCGTTTGCAACTCCCTGTAACGCCGAATTAGAGCGCAGCTCTTGAGGAGGAGGAGGGAACGGTACTGGGGGGGTGGGTCAAGTGACCTTGGGTGGGGGTCACGTGACGATGACGATGCTGATGACGTCATCAGTAACGATGACGATGCGGATACCGATGACGTCATCAGTGATGATGACAATGACGATGCGGATACCGATGACGTCATCAGTGATGATGACGATGCGGATGCCGGTGACGTCATCAGTGACGTCGCTGATGACGTCATCAGCGACGATGACGATGCCGGTGACGTCATCAGTGACGTCACTGATGACGTCATCAGCGATGATGACGATGCGAATGCCGGTGACGTCATCAGTGATGATGACGATGCGGATGTCGGTGACGTCATCAGTGACGTCACAGATGACGTCATCAGTCATGATGACAATGACGATGTGGATGCCGGTGACGTCATCAGTGATGATGACGATGCGGATGCCGGTGACGTTATCAGTGACGTCACTGATGACGTCATCGGGGGTCACGTGACCCCGGGGGTCACGTTGGGGAGCCACGTGACTTTGGGTGTCACGTGACTTTGGGGAAGGGGTCACGTGACATTGGGGTGGCCTTGGGGAGTCACGTGACCCTTGGGGAGGGGTCACGTGACCTTGGAATGACCTTGGGGGTCAAGTGACCTTGGGATGACCTTGGTTACGCCGACGGCGACGCCGCTCAAGCCGGGAACGGGCCCCTAAGAGCTGCGCTCTAAAATCGTTTCATGGTTCCATGCAGGCCAATGGTCGATTGGTCCATCTAGCACAGGGGTGGCGAAGGTGCGGCTCTTCGCGTGTTGCTCGCGGCTCCACTCCAACCCCCCCCCCCCCACCCACCCACCCACCTCCCTCCCGGTCACACAAGCATTTCTCGAAAAAGAGAAACGGAACGCGTTTTAAATCGAAAGAAAGGTTGCGGTTTGGTAGTTCTGTGCTACTGCTACTTTACGTACGGTTGGACTGCTTTTGACTCGAATAGATTGAAAGAGTTCTAGTTTCGTTTATTGTTCTGGACAAAGGTTTGCCTTGCCCCTCCCCGCCCGCCCGCCCTCCCCCTCCCCCTTCCCGCAGCTCTTGGCAGTTTCGTGGTTTTGTTTGGGGCTCTTAGGCCGGGTCAGCCTGGCTACCCCTGGTCTAGCATGTTCACCTTGGCACAGAGTCAGCCTACCGATCAATCGAGTCCGAGGGTTTGTCCCTGCTTGATACTCGAATACTCACCCGTCCAGTGAGTCCGGTTGGCGCGTCTCCGTAGCGGGAACGGCGGTCGGAACGGCAGCGTCGGCAGCCTCCTCCCTCGGCACAAGTGCGGGAGGTTCCGCGTCCGTCTCCGGACTCCCCCTGCTCTGGGCGACACCTTCCGCCACGCTGGCTACCGCCGAAGACTCGGGCACCGGTCGACAGGGCACCGTCGCCTGTTCCGGGGGGCACTGCTGCGGCTGCCCGACAGAGTTCCCGCCGCTGTGTGCTCCGTCGACGTCCACCCGACCTTCGACCGTGTCTGCCGGGGCCGGCCGCTTTGTAGGTTGGGAGTACACCCGGAATGCGAGGCGTAGGGGAGACTCCTGTGCAAACCCCAATATCAAATCCCCCGTTAGGCCCTCCCTCTACCGCGGTCGCGTTTCGCGGCAGACCTTCGCCTGTCGACAAAGTGCCAACCGCCGCCCGAAGTCGAAAACCAGAGCTCTCAGGAAATCCTCAGGCAGTGCCCAATTGGCCTTTTAAGCTCAACGGGCATGCATTCGTCCGAATGCTAAATGCTCACCCTCTTCCAGGCGTAGATGTAGGCCACGTCCATGAGCGAGTAACCTTCCGAGAGAACGTCACCCATGTGCAGGATGTCAATCTGCCGCAGAGAAGCACCGATAAGTCTCGAGGCGATCCATGTCTCGGTCGTCCATTCCTAACAATTTCTCAAGCGCTCCAACAGTTTCTGCCATTACTTGAGTCAATACATTATTGCTGCAGACACGAGACAAGGAAAAGGGAACAGCGCTTACAGTCTTCTTTCTTCCACGTACCTTCGCGAATGAATCAGAATTGAACGGAGATCCTTGTTTCTAACGCACCTGGCTTTCCTCGCGCGTTTGGATATAGCAACATATGTAATAAAAACACCTTCATTCTCCTCATAAGCAAATAATTATGCAGAGTGCGTTTTTCGCTATAAGTGCGCGTATGTACCTCTGTTAGTTTTGTACTGATCTGCCGAACAGAAAATGTTTCAACGCGTACCTGATCATAATCTCGAGTGTGGCCTGGTGCAAAAATGTCGGAAGGGAAAATGCATTTTGAAGCGCCGTACCTCGCACATAGACAAAACGATGCAACATGACTTTACGTATCAACGCAAGCATAAGGTGGGAAGAAATTTCTTTGGAGGAGTTGAAGAAAATCGAAGATAACTTCTGCTTTTGATTGGACCTTCATGTTAATACATTTATTGGTATGAGGTATGTTCGGAATAACGCGGATATCTAAACCTATACATTACAAGAGTATACATTATAACTGATCTGATATACCTTCTTGGGAAGAAAATGTGAGAGAAGCTTCAGTGTTACGAGGTGACTTACAAATGTAGGCCCAAGACGTCAAAGTTGTCAAGTTTGTGAATTTATGACGCGCGCTAGGTCAGTTCCACAACCGCAGAAATATTTATATCAATAGTCTTCTGTCCCAAGTTCCCGCAGGTGTAAAATACCTGAGCTCTCCACTTTCGTTTGCGTCTTACCAGCCGGCAGACACGGCAAAAACTACGGATTGACGTTTGCACTGCGGAAACCTTTTCTGGTCACGTTGCATTTAGGCATTGGAGAGTGACGTATAAGAATATAAACAAAAACAGATATGTCGACGCGTGCATGATCTTGCGTGAGGTACACACGCTACTCCGGAGTCAACAGAGCTTTTGTTTCTCTTCGACCGTCTAACCGAATAAAAAGATCCAGCTTCTTACAAACCTTGCCCACAAATGTCGAGGCCAAGAAAATGAAGCCCAAAACGCACGAGCGACGAAAACGGGAGCCGCGCGGCGGTTTCCATAGAATCTGCCGCGGACACTGGAACGTGGCGGTAGGCACCCTAGCTGCAGCTAGGTCCAGCGGGGGTGCCTTTATGTGCGCTTTGCTTAGGGTGGAGACATCTGGCCATTTTGTCTCACACTTTTATTTTTTGTTCAGAAGCGCGTGAAAGAACGTGTCCCTGCACGCGCTCGTGGCGCTGACTGTGCTACGGCGACATTTTGTTTTCGTCGATTTCTTTGTATTTTACCCGTGAGCACGTGCTGTCGGCATTTGGGTACTACAAAGGGAGGCGTCACCTTAGACAGAAGGACATCAAGGCACCCTATACTCTGTTTCATACTTAGCGTGCAACGCCGTCAAAGCTACCGGCGCGAGCGCGTGGCTTCATCTATTGTATTGTTTGCGCGAGAACGCGTGCAAATGATCAACGAGATCAAGACCCACGCTCGCGCCAGTGACTTTGACAGCGTTGCACGCTAAGTATGAAACAGAGTATAGGTCCAGCCATAGCGTCCGCGGCAGGTGCTACGGAAACCGCCGCGCGGCTCCTGTTTTCGTCGCTCATGCGTGTGGGCAGTGGGCAACGCCACCGACCGACGCGGAGTACGATGCGTAGCGGGACTGCGGGCGGCCTCTCGCCTCCATCGCGAGGTCTCGCGCCGTTCCTCGCGGCGGCGGCGTGTCCCCTTCGCCAACACCTCCTAGAAGACAAGGCCGTAGTGCTCTTCTCGTGACGTCGCAAAGGAAGGCCATCGGGGGCGCGCGTCGAAGCGAATGCAACGCGCGTACATCGACCGCCGTAACGCGTTTTTAGTCACATACGCGTGTCATATTAGCTCAAATGAAACCTGCAGATAGCAACGGGTCTAGAAAACATTTTATTACACGAGCAAAATATTACACCGCTAAATAATCGGTACGAAATGGCACGAGGTATGCGTACAAAACGTCTATCGAAAAATGTGATTGTTTTAAGTCGAAAACATTGAGTCATGCAATTATTGTTGTAGGAATGCATATTTTATACAGAAATACTTTGACAAAATGGCGAGACACGCAGTGATTTTGAAACAGCAAAACAGAACAGTTAAAAATCAGGTAGACATAGTCAACGCGGACAAGGCAAGACAAGCGTTTCTCACGATCATGTAAGCGACGTTATCGCGTGCAGTCACTGAATTCTTGCATCATACCCCGGCCACATGGCAAAATTAATGTAATTTCGATCGAATGACAACATAGGGTCGACAAATCCGCTTGCGGCGCTCGTATAATCACTCAAGACCGCGAGCTGATTAAATCCTATATCACTGAATGAAAATATATTAACGTTTCCCTGTGGCAGGGGTACTAAACTTACTACTTAGTCTACTGATTTACTTCTCCCTATGGGCTCGAGCTGCCTTAGAACAAAACATAACTTGTTTTGTATATAATAATACTATCACCTTAATACAGTTAAGATTCTAGTATAAACGCGGAAAAGGCAATAAAATAACTTTAGTATAAATAAACACAGAACCACAAACAACTCACTTTCAATAATCACACAAACTTGATTTTCATCTTCCAGTGAAAACTAGATTAGCGCGCATATTTACAAATGTCGACGCAACTGCATACGAATAATGACAAGGAACAAAATTGCAATTTATCATGCGATTAAAAAAAAACGATTGCAGCATCTTACTTGCGTCCTACATGAACAAAAAAGCCCGTAAATAAGTTGTTTCTCACTTGTCGATCGTATCCATACGTCCCACAATATTCGTGACGAACACATTTGAACACGAACTCCAAGAAGCCTCTCTCTGTCGAGAGAGAGGTCTATCGATTAGTCGACCAGAGCCTTCGTTGGCTAGTTGTCACACGTCACTCAAACCGTAGCAGGACTTGTTTCACAAATGCACGTAAATGCCGTAGTATCAAGCGAACACAAAAAAAAAAAAAAAAAAAAAAAACTACCCGAGACTACGGTGATGACAGAAATACGACGCGAAACAAGTCTCAAAAGTACCACACAGGAGAACAGCGGTGACGAAAGGCTTAACGTTGTCGACCCATCTCTTGCTGGTGTGCGCTCCCTGCGACGACTGGATTTCTTTTCGGTTTGCTTCCCTTCTGAGATGTCTCAGCGTTCCTTTTCAGACAGTCAGCAGCTCACACACAACGTAAATTTACCAGAATCGGAGCCATGTGGCATCAGCAGCATCGCAGCCGGTCCTTTCGAAAAGTGTGGGGGGCTGCGGAACTGCACGTAGTCCCGCGGTTACGGGAATGCTCACAAATATAATTTTGGTACTCTCAACCTTGGTAGCGCGTTATATAATACGTTTATATTATATATATAATAAATTGTACAAGACTGCGCCTTTAAAACGTATATTAATGTCGGATAAACGCGCATGAACGAACACCACCGCGCCGCTTGTCAAGGGACATTGTTTTCACGTCGATAGCGTATTCTCACGTAGTTGCGCCATGGACTTCCTTCCTCCGCCATTGTGACGTAACCTCTCAGAGCGCTCTGGCCTTCTTCTCTAGGATGTGCCCCCGTCGCTCATTGATCCGCGGGGAGGAAGGAGAGAGGAAAGCTCCGCAGAACTTCCCGGCGCACGCTCGGCGAGAGAGAGAGAGAGAAATGGTTTATTGAAAGACGAAGATGTTAACCTAGCTGTATGATGCCGGTTTGCTACTTCGTACTGGGGAAAGGGAAGGGGAAATAAAGAATCGAGAGGAAGAAAAGAAGAACAGAAAGAAAGAGTACTCGTGAAAACATTCACGCACACATAAATTAACTAAACATAAAAAAAAAAAAAAAAAAAATTGACCTTAAACGCAAAAGTGGAGGAGCGTATGCGTCAATCGCAAGTACAAAAGGAACAGAGGGTGAAAAAAAAAAAAAAATGATTGGCGTGGTCGGTTCTTTCCTCTTTGTCTCTAAAGTGTCCTGTCCAGCCGGGTTTCTTTTAGATACTTGGTCAGCGCATTTGTTGCAACCTCAGCTTCTCCATAAGTTTGCCAAGGGCCAAGGAGTCGCTGCAGGGATAATGGTTGTCCGGATAGATGCAATGCCTGAGCCATGGTAGCACGTTCCTTCTCGTACAATCTGCATTCGCACAGGAGATGATGTTCGTCCTCAAGTGATGAGCACGGTTGGCAGAGTGGGGATGATGCTCTGCCGATCATGTGAAGATACTTCTTGGTGAAAGCAACACGCAGGCGTATTCGGTGAAGTGTGGACTGCTCACGCCGTCCAAGTCCTCGCGGTACACGAAACTGAAGTTGAGGGTCAATTTCATGGAGCCGCTTGTAGTGATAGTTTGGGCAAGACCAGAGGGAAGAACGGATGGCGCTTCCGATACGATTTGCCAATCGCCTAGCGTCTGCCTTTGAGTATGGAATACGTATGATGGAATCTGATTTTCTTCCGTTTTTGGCAGCAATGTCTGCTGATTCATTTCCGGCGACTCCACAATGGCTTGGTATCCATTGGAAGAGAACTGTGTGTCCAGTCATGATTGTCTCATTGTGAAGGTGCTGTATTTTCCGTACTATTTGGATGTTCGCGCTTTTTACGTTTGGGTTTATCATGCTTTGCAGCGCCGCTCTAGAATCAGTGAATATCGTCCAGCTGGCTGGAACTTGTTCAATTATTAGCCTCAAGGCTTCGCGAATCGCAACTAGCTCTGCAGCTGTGGAGGACGTTGCATGACTAAGCTGTGCCTCAAGTGTGAAGTTCATCGACGGAACAGATATTCCTATGCCTGTGCTGTCTGACGCAGTGGATCCGTCAGTAAAGATATGTCGTCGTTTAGAA